CCCCCCCCCCCCATTTTCGCGAAACATGTATGGATAGCCGTGTCGAACCTCCTGCTACTCGTTTGGTGAAGGAATGCCTGCCGGTAACGGTGGTTTCACGCATGTTGTGTGCATCAAGCTGAACCACCGAGTCCAAGCACGTTGAAGCATTTTGGATCTACTACTACAACCCCAGCACAGCGTCTTGCCGTCGCTACACGTATACGAGAAAAAAAAAAAAAGTGTAGAGCTCACGGCGTATTGTGTAGATGCTCGACGACTCCGACTTGAGTCTCTGTTACAATTCACGGAAAAAAATGGTACTCTAGCACACAGTAGAGAGACCCATAGGCTAAATAGCACATAGTAGAGACCCATAACTTTGCCACACCCAAATAAAAACGCTCAAGCACCACGAAGGGAAATAAAAAGTGTACCACCCATCTACCGTGCGCCGTCCCTCGCACCCCTCTACCGAAGAGCCGTCGCTCACGGCGGTACAACAATCATGTGTTCATGGGTTCCGTGTTGGATGTACTTTCGAAGTTTCAGGACCTCGGCCAGTGATAAGAGACAGCATCTGTCTTCTGCGACAACGAATACTGCTTCTCTAGCACAGAGGGAGGTATCACAGGGCCCCATGCATCGCACCCAAAGTACTACAGCTTCCTAGAGAACCTACCTACCCACGGGTTGGACGGACGCCGACACGAGTTCACCGGCTTGGTCTCGTTATGATCTCCCTACTAGTGCATTGTATCATGCCGGCACGGGCATGGGACTACTTGTAATCGGACAGGCCGAAAGGCCCCCCACTCCTCTCGTACACTACTGTGCCGACGACACGGGTAATCGCATGTGCGCCAAGAGACGATATGTTTAGCCACCATCTACCACTGTTCATATCCGGACCAACGCCGGCCCCACAGCCTTCGCCAAGGAAACGCCAGCACTTGCCCGAACATAGCCCACGCAACAAGAAATAGGCTCCAACGGGCAGGACAGAGCTAATTCCCGTCCGCGCCCCCCGCCCCCGCCATATTTCTCACCTGCGTGTTCCCACCGCTGACGTACAGCACAACAGGGTCCGCGCAGTTCGTCGCCACCCTCCCCATCTCGATGTGCCCGACGCAGTGGTTCACCGCTACCACATCGCACCCCCACAGCTGTACCGATAACGATTGGGTGTTGCGGTTGGGTGTCCCATGTGCAAGTGATTTAACCGCGCGTATGGACATGCGGACGGGGGCAGGGGAGGGGCGACGGACGAATGAACGGT